TCCCCCCCGCCGTCGCCTGCCCCCCATGGGGGCCCTGGCCTTACCCCGGGGGGTGGGCGAGGGGGATCCCTGGCTCCCCGAAGCTCCCGCTCTCCTACTTTTGGGACGGCTGGCAGCCGCCGATGAACCCAGCCGAGCCCTGGCCACTGCCCCCGTTGTTTCGGGGCTCCTTCGTTACCTGACGGGGGTCCCAGCTCCAGCCCCCCGGGCTGCCCGGGTGCTGCAGCGCCTGACAGGGCACCCTGCTTTTTTGGGGGCCCTGGTCCGGGCTTACGTCCCCTCCCTGCTCCATTCCTGGCTGGTCCTCGGCTTCACCCCACCCCAGGCCGAGGAACTTTCGCGGCCCGGGGGACCCAGGCATCCGGCTGCCCCCCCTCACCCCCGCCAGGCACGCCTCAAGGAGTTGGGTGAGTTGGGGGGGGGGGGCTTAAGGGAACTAACTGGGATTACTGGGAGCCACGGCTGGCCTTTGAGCATCACGCCAGGGGTTCCTTGGGGGCTTCTGGGGGTCTTTGTTGACCTTTTGGGATCCCCAAGGTTTCCTGGGGGACTACTGGGGGTCCCCAGGGGGTCCTGGGTGGCCTTTGGGGGTCTCTGGGGGGGGCTGCTGGGAGTCCCACAGCAGGTCTGGGTGGCCTTTAGGGGTCTTTGAGGTGTCCCCAGTGGGCTATTAGGGGTCCCAAGGAGTCCCTGGTATCTCTGGGGGTCCTTGGTGGACTTTGGGGGGGTCCCTGGAGGTCCTGGGTAGTCTTTGGGTGTCCCTGGGGGGCTGTGGGAGGTCCCCAGGGCATCCTGAGTGGCCTTTTGGGGACTCCTGCGGTGTCCTGAGTGGTCTTTAGATGATCCCATTGCCTTTTGGGAGTCCCCAGTTGTCCCTGGGAGGCTTTGGGTGTCCTTGGAGGACTGTTGGATGTCTCTGGGGGACTGTTGGGGGTCCTGGGTGCTGGTTTGAGTCTCCTGGGGTGATCCTGGGGGGCCGGGAGGAGGAGGGAAGATCCACAGCGGGATCCTATGGACCTGACACGCCCCCTCACCCCAATATGTCCCTGTGTCTCCCCAGGTGAGGGACTCCTGCGCAACCTGGGGGCGGCGGCAGCGGCCCCCTTCGGCGTGGGGCTGCTGACTCACATGCTGCGCTGCGGAGCCCCCCCAGCCCGCCTGGCCTGTGCCACCGCCCTGCCTTTGCTCACCAGGTACGACCCTATAGCAACCCTATAGCACCCCTATAAAGCCCCTGTAGGTTCCGTGCTGCGCCCCCCTCACAACCCGAACTGGCCTGTAGCTCACCCTGGGGGGGGGTCCCTCACGCATTCCCCTGCACCCGGACCCGTAAATCATCTATAGAATCTGTATGTCCCCTATAGACTCTACAGTGTCCCCGTAGCCCCCCCCAGAACCAGCCCCATAACCCCCATGGGAGATCCCCAATGTGTTCCCCTGTGCCCGAGCCCATAAATCCTCTATAAAGCCCAATACATCATCTATAGAGCCTTTTAAGTCCCCTATAGAGCTTCTGCAGCCCCCTCTAGCCCCCAGAACCAGCCCCATAACTCACATGGGAGATCCCCAATGTGTTCCCCTGCGCCCGGGCCCGTAAATCCTCTATAAAGCCCAATACATCATTTATAGAGCCTTTTAAGTCCCTTACAGAGCTTCTGCAGCCCCCAGAACCAGCCCGATAACTCACGTGGGAGATCCCTGATGTGTTCCCCTGCGCCCGGGCCCGTAAATCCTCTATAAAGCCCAATACATCATCTCTAGAGCCTTTTAAGTCCCCTATAGAGCCTTTTAAGTCCCCTATAGAGCTTCTGCAGCCCCCTCTAGCCCCCAGAACCAGCCCGATAACTCACGTGGGAGATCCCTGATGTGTTCCCCTGCGCCCGGGCCCGTAAATCCTCTATAAAGCCCAATACATCATTTATAGAGCCTTTTAAGTCCCCTATAGAGCCTTTTAAGTCCCCTATAGAGCCTCTGCGGCCCCCTCTAGCCCCCACAACCAGCCCCATAACCCACCTGCGGGGTTGCCGCACAGATTCCTGCTTGTTCACTGGTCTCAAGTTTCTATAGAGCCCCGTAGGATCTGGATGGGGTCCCCGAAACAGCCTGTAGATCCCACATAGGTGCTCAGTATAGATTTCTTTAGGCAAGGCAGGGCATGCATTATATATATTTTCCCAGTAGGTGGCCCCATCGATCCACTACAGACAATTTCATGAGTGTTTCCTCTAGATTTCCCCGTAACAAACCCTACAGATCTTCCGTAGGTCGCCTCGTAGCGAGTGCAATAATTTCCTATAGATCCCCTATTTCTGGCCCCGTAGAGCCCCCGTAAATCCTCTACAGATCCCCAGTGCCCAAGTCTATAGATTACCTATAGGGGCCCCCTGCAGAACTCGCCACGGGCAGCCCTGTACGTTCCCTATGGCTGCCCCCTAAGCGGCCCTGCTAGTCCTTATAGGCAGCCCCGTAAGTCTCATATAGATTTCCTACCTATAGCCCTATAGTTCCCCTATAGATCTGCCTACAGAAATCCTATACGTTCCCTCTGTGTGCACTCCCGCCCCGTGTCATCGGCACATCACTCGTGTCTCAGGCGTGTGCAGCCCCCCGGGGTTGGGGGGGTGGTCCTAGACCCTATGGCGTGACCCACGGCGTTGGCGTCACGTTGGCGTGGCCCACGGCGTTGGCGTCGCGTTGGCGTGGCCCACGACGTTGGCATTGCGTTGGTATCGCCTACAGCGTTGGCGTCACGTTGCCGTGACCCGCGTCGTTGCCAGGACTTGTGTCGGTGTCACGTTGGCGCGACCCACGGTGTCAACGTCACGTTGGCTTGACCCCGTGTTGGCAGCATCACGTTGGCGTGACCCACGTCGTTGGCGTGACTCGGGTCACCGTTGTCACGGTGGCACGGCCTGTGTTGTTGGTACGACCCTCGGCACCGGTGTGGTGTCGGCGTGACCCTTGGCGTCCCTTTGCCATGACGCTGGCGTGACACGTGTCCTTGACGTGTGCAGGCCGGCGTCCCCGGCGCGGGGGCTGCTGTGGGGAGGGGGTGCGGTGGCCCTGCTGCTCTCGGCGGTGGCCCGGGGTCCCACGTCCCCCTACGAGCCCCCCCCGGCCTTCGCCCTCTACGCTGCCGATGCCATCGCCCTCCTGCGGGGACATGCCGGGGACACGCCGGGAGACATCGGGGATGCGGCAGGGGACGGTGAGGACACGCTGGGACGTGCCAGCGCCGAGGACCTGCAGGTACGGCCCCATGGGGTGCTGGGGACAAGCGATGGGGACATTGAGGATGTGGTTGGGGACGCTGGGGCTCGTTGGGGACGTGGAGGATTGTTGAGGACTTGTGGGGACACTGAGGAGCCGGTTGGGGACGTAGGGATCGCGAGGGACTCGTGGGGACAGACGTACGGGGATACTGGGGACATCGGGGATCCCATGGGGACACTGGGACACCCACAGCCTCTCCGGTGCTCTTGGGGATCCTCAGGTGCACGGAGACGGGGACACCAGGGACCTGTGGGAACCCGGGGACGCTGAGGACCTGTGGGGACAAGCGGACAGACGCGGGGAGAGTGGCGACATCCTTGGGGAGAACGGTGACCTGCAGAGACCTCCGGACCGCCACAAGGACCTCAAGGACCCGTGGGGACACCCAGACACCTTTGGGGATGCTGAGGACACCTGGGGACACATGGATGGCCACGCAACCTCTCCTGCGGATGGACACGGTGACATCGGGGACGCGCCAGGGTGCACCGATGGACATGGGGACCTGTGGGGACACGCAGACGGACTTGGGGACGCTGATGACTCGTGGGGACCCCCGGGATCCCCGTGTCCCCTCTCCCCCGTGACCCTCTATCCCCCACCCCTGCTGTCCCCTGTGTCCCCATGTCCCCAAGTATCTCCAGACCCGTTTTCCCTGGGCCCCCCCTGTCCCCAAGTGTCCCAGAGGGCTGCTAAACGTCCCCGATCATCCTCTTGTCCCCAGCTGTCCCCAAACCCTCCCAACCTCCATTCCCCAGTGGCCCCAAGACCCCCCAAATGTCCCCTGCTCTCCTCTCCTCCTCCGCTGCCCTCAAACCTCCCCAACTCGTGTCCTGGGGCACCTCTGAGGTCCCCCAACCCCTGTCCCCAACTGTCCCCATGTCCCCAAGTTTCCCCAACCCCCCTCGACCCGTGTCCCCAGGTGTCCCCAACGTCCTCCAACCCATCTCCCCAACCATCTCCCCGTCTCCGAGCCTCCCTAAGCTCCTCCAACTCCTGTCCCCAAGCGTCCCCAAGCTCCTCCAACCCATCTCCGCCACCGTCTCCAGCCCCCCAAGCATCCCCGACCCCCCCAACCGCCCGTCCCCCGGTGTCCCCAACGTGTCCCTATGCCCGGACCCCCCACGACCTCCTCCTCCTCCCCAACGGCACCCACCCCGGGGTGCCAGCGGCCCGGGCGGCCCTGACCCGGGGGTCCCCCGTCTTGGGAGCCATGTTGGGGGGAGCCTTCGCCGAGGCCCGCCAGGCAGCGGTGACCTTAGGCTGCGCCCCCCGCCACCCTCTCCTCCTCCTCCTCCATTTTGTCCATGGCTGCCGGGGTCACCCCAAGGACAAATGTCCCCTCCTGTCCCCGCCGGTGGCCCCCGCCGCCGCCGACGCTGCCATTGCCTTGGCCCGCCGTTATTTGGTGGACGGTTTCGAGGGCGTCATGGTCGCCGCTGTCACCGCATCCCCCGGTGCCCTCTGGGCCTTGGCCGAAAGGTGGGGTTGCGCCCCGTTGGCCACCCGGGCCGCCCAAGCCATTTTGGGGGGGCCACCCCACGACGTGGCCCCTCGGTTGGTTCGGGTGGCGCAGTTGGCCCGATGTCCCCCTCGCTTGGCCAGGGCCTTGATGGCTGCTGTGGCACCCCGGGGGGTCCAGCCCCACCTTGAGATGGGGGAGCCGTGGGGTGGGGGTGACCCCTTGCTGCGACTCCCCGGAGATGCCAATGGGGACCTCGGGGACGTCCAGGAGGACCTCGGGGACTTGGAAGATGATTTTGGGGTCCCTTACGAGGATCTCGGGGATAGCCGGGGAGACCTCGGCAATGTGGCAGACCCCTTTGGGGACCCGTCTGTGGATGTTGGGGACCCCTTAGGTGAAGATGATGGGGACGTGGAGGTCAAGGGGCCTCTCTAAGACCTTGGGGACCCCTTTGGGGATCTTGGGGACCACGGCATGGGTGTTGGGGACCCCTTAGATGAAGACGAGGAGGACGTGGAGGTCAGGGACCTCTCTAGGACCTTGGGGACCACTGCATCAGTGTTGGGGACCTCTCTAAGACCACGGGGACGCCCTCAGGGATATCTCTGGATGTTGGGGACCCCTTAGATGATGTGGCCATGAAGGTCAGAGGACTTCTCCAAAGCCTTGGGGGCCCTTTTTTATGGGTCTTGGCGACCCCTTAGGTGAAAATCAGGAGGACGTGGTCAGGGGACCTTTCTGAGACCTTGGGGACATCCTGGAGGACCCCTTTATGCCTGTTAGGGACCCCTTAGACAGGGACGAGGGAGACAAAGATGTCAGGAGAGCTCTCTGAGATCTTGGGGACACCTTTAGGGACCTTGAGGAGATGGAGGACACCTTCAGGGACCTCCATGGGAACCTCAGGGAGGACTTCAAGGATGTGGTGGACCACCTTGGGGACCCCTTCGATGAGAACATGGAGGTCAAGGGACCTCCCTGAGACCTCGAGAACACCCATTAATCTGGGGACGCACTGAAGGACCGTAGCAACGTTGGAGAACTCTTAGATGAAGATGAGGAGGACGTGGGGGTTGAGGGACACCCTTGGGGTCCTCCTCTAGATGTTAAGGCCTTTTTTGATGATAAAGACGAGGCTGAGGAGATGGGGAGCCCCCCCCATAAGGACTTGGGGACC